GCCATTACAATCCCTAATCACTTCGTTATACTGAAGTCATACTGTAAAAATTTAAAAAAATCAAAATTTTTAAAAATTTTCAAATTTCTCGAAACAATTACAAAACACCCTTAATGGACTCCCAGTTCATCAAATAAACTATCACAATGATGGTAAAATAATACTGACAAATGAGCGCAATTCGAGCCAATCATTCTTCCCCCCCCTTTCGGTGGTCGAAGGACAAACAACAGTCAGTTAATATGTCACAAATAATTGGTTCAAATATGTGTATACTGTTTTTATGTTATCATAGGAATAGTTTTATGTTGTCATAGGACTGGGGATGATAATGGTATGACAAAGTTTTTTGAAAATTAAAAAAAATTTTTTTTTTCAAAATTTAAAGTTTTTTTAAATTTGAAATTTTTAATGCCAAAGGCAAAAAATAAGGTTTTTTATAACAAAAACGTCATTTTAAAGCTAACTAAGATATATAAAAAATCAATTTTTCAAAAATTAATTTTTTTCAAAATTTTATAATTTTTTAAAAATTTTAAATTCAAAAGTGTCGTTTTTAAATCACGTTTAATATTCAGAAAAGCCTTAGTTTATCTCTAAAATTTAATTTTGCCTTAAAGACATCAAATTTTAAGAAAAAAGTTAAATTTCAAAACATCCCCTCAGGCTAAAAATCCAAAAGCTTTCGAAAAACCTCCAAAATTTCAAACCCTCCAAACCACGGTTCCAGAAACTCGAAAATCCAGGTATCGCGTTGTTACTACTCGGCTGGTGTTGGGTTTCCCTTATTATTATAATGAATTAAAAATGGGCAAACACTAGAGTAAAAGGGAAAGGGGATCAAGTGAGAGAAATAATATTATACTTGATGACTAAACACTCAATTCCCGATTTCATACGTCTAATTTTACTTTTGTTTGGGCTTTTATTAATAAGTGACTAATTGAAAATGGCGCTTTATTAGCAAATTGTTTTTCCGCTTCTTGAGGGGTGTGGTTTGAAAAAAGCGCAGTAACTTTTTTTACAGTTGAACAAAATTTTAGAAATTTGGTGAGAAGAGAGATAAATTGATAGACTATGATATAAAATGGAACAAGTTGCAAAAATTTCATTTTAAAACCTATAAAATAAAAAAAATTTCATTAATGATTGGTCTTCAAAAATCAAAAAAAGTTGAACATGAAAAATTGCGATAACTTTCTTTACAGTTGAATAAAATATTTGAAATTATTTCAAAATGCAAACAATTGCACTAGCTTTGTTCTAAAATTTTAAAAAGCGCAATAACCTTGTTTACAATGCTAAAAAATTAAAAAAAAACATCGCTCAAATTTATCCCAAAAATAAAGAAGTAGGTCTTGGTCAAAATGCCATAACTTTTTTGACAGTGACGAAAATATAATAAAATTGAGAGGCATTACGTAACAACTATCTATACTAACATACCGAGTACTAATATACAATATATTTTGGCACAATCGCAAGAATCTTCTTACCAAAGTTTAGTCATCAAAAATGACAAAACTTGTTGAAACATCTGATCAAATTAAAATTATAATGGTATAAGAACTCATTTCATACCTAAACAACCCTTCTTTAAGCCAAAACCCTTGTCTTCACCAACAAAAACTTTGTTTCCACTCGCCGCAAACCCAATAATACAAGACCCTCGAGTTTGAACTCATTAACGCCCGCCGCAACAAATCGGATATTTGACTAGCGAGCATCATGTATAATATAAATGTGTCTCTCGAGTGATTTGGCGTGCGCCGAGAACCCGATTAAAAAAAGTTTTCGCACTTCGCTCTTCACACTATTTACTACTACTTCAAACTCATTGTCGCATTTAAACCGCTGTTTTATGAGAACTTGTACGGGGGGGGGGGGAGAGAAGGAGGGGAAAACAATGAACGAATTAAGATTTGTTTTGGAAACAGAGGGCGAGTATGATACAAGTTTCAAAAAGTTTAAAAAAATATTTTAAAAAGTCATAATCAGATAAACAAATACAGTAAACTAGCTAAATATTACAGTATACTATGGTCTATATCGACCACAAACGGAAGAAGATATAACCCTAACCCCCTATAGTCCTATTGTACCAATTCTATCTACTCTATTTCCTTACCATGTTCTATCTTATCATACGATCTTGTCTTACCTAATATACTACCTTACCTTCCCATAGCCAAAACCGTACTCTACAGCAGCCATATCCTAATCTTCGTCCTATCCTCCAAGACAAAGTCACCACTTACAGCCTCAAGCCTTATCCATGCCTTGCAAGATTAAAACCCACACCCAAAAAGACGAAAACTCTAACAAATCTACCGTACTAGTATCATCCCCTCCCCTCCCCAAATCATATTACACTGACCATTGCCCAAGAGTAGTAATTGGGATATTAACCCATTCATTTCCCTCATCTAACTAATCGAATAAAAGGCGACAAAAGTGGGCGTGGCACAACATCTGACACTTTTGTGACCCCAGTGGAATTAGGCTTAATCATCACTTGTCCTTGGCAACAGATCGCGGCGGCTAATTTCGGGGTTTCAAACACAATGGGCGAGGACTGGTTTAGGGGTTTGGGTGGGGTAGAGGGAGAAGGCCGTCAAGGCTGTTAAAGAGGGATGAGATAGTGTTGGCCCTTGTTTGAGTATCGGTTTAGTATCATCAGAACCGTCGAAAGAATGCGAGGAGATGGGCGGATAGGGTCGATAGGGGTAGTTCCTAAACATGTCAAACGGAGCAGGCCGATTATTAGGCCTGGCCCGCGATCCGACACCTTCCGCCCCATTCGCCATATCTAGTAGCTCACCAGAAATACAAAAAAGTCATAAGTATAGGTTGAATCAAAAGTAGCGGGACAAGTTTTAGTTGACCAATATATGGAAAGCGTCCCGCTACTTTTGGCTCAACCAACGGGTATGCCCTACCACCAGTTCCGGGCGGGGACTTTTGGTCTGGGGGGCGGGGGTCCAAAAAATCGGCACAGGTACCTGTGCCGATTTTTTGCAAAATTTTTTTTTCGAAAATCCACAGGGGGGGGGGACTACGTTCAATTTTTTTCAAAAATTTTTTTTGGGGGGGGGGGTTACCCCCCCCTCGCGCCCGGCCCTGCCTACCACAGAAAAAAAAATCCGTAGCGACGTCCCTGCCGTATCTCCTATACCTCTATGAATATTAAAATCAAAGTAATGAAAAATATCATTCCATGCCAAACCTAAAATCTACCCCAACCTGCCACAAGTCCTACCAACAACAACACCACTAAACCTCTAAGTTTCAACCATTAACTGCATTAGAAACTCCTGTCGCTAACCATCGAATGTGTCAGCCCAATTGTCATCAATTCTCATCGATGTAGCACCGCCTCATTTAAATTACGGTAACTTTGCATTGTGGCGGGTTTCGAATCCCCTGCAGTTATTGTGAAAGGCTTAGGGTTTCAAGGTCTTGTATTATTGTTATTATGTTTGGTGAATGGGAATCCACGAATCCGATCGATTGACTCTCTATTAATCTTATTATGCGTATTAGCGCCGCTTATTTTGTCAATGCTTCATTTCATTTTGTTTCGGTTTTAATGGGAAAAAAGAGAGGTTTATTGAGGTTTGAAAAAAAATGGTTTGAGTTTCAAAAGGTACAGTAGAACAACATTATAACGTCTAAAAAAGTCTTTTCGTTTGTCATTTTTCAAGGCAATGTAAACCAACAACAATACCTTTTTAGAGACTAACAAATTGATTTTATAGGCTATGAAAAACTACCAAAGCACAACCTAACGTAAAAGACAATAAGAACTCTATAATATTACTACTACTAGACCTGTAAAGGAGCCTGATTGACTTCAAACTTTTTATATTTTTTTTATTCTAGTAGAATACTTTTAAGTAAACCTACATTTTTAAATTTTTAAGCGTAGCTTGTCAGGAAAGTCGAAAAAAGTGCTTGAAACACAATGCCAAATTGGCGGGAAATCAATATAATTCAAATTTAAAACTTAAAAGCGCGAGCTAAAATTTTTTATGGGTACTATTGGTTGTACGAAGAATTCGTATAAAGATTTTGAGCTGATTCTGAGCGAGGCAGGTTGGGCACTTTCCTTGTCAGTTGTACAAGACTTCCCCTGCTATCACACCAAAATTTAAAATAAAAAAAAAGTCAAAAAAGTTTTAAAACCTTACTTTCCGTTTGGCCATGTCCAATAGAAAAGCAAAAATAAGAGAAAAAAACCGACTACCAAAGTGAATTCTCTCAATTACACCATATTAATTGAATTTTGATTCAATTAGTAATCAAAGAAACGATGATATTAAACAATTTCTCATTCATTATCTCCATTATGTTGAGTATAATAATCATTAAAGTTCATTAAACTCGCTTCGAATTCACGAGAAATGCGGAGTGATTTTGATTGAAATTTCGAAAAAATTAGAAATTTTTTAAAATTTAAAAATTTTTTTTTGAAAATTAAAAAATGTCAAAACTCAACAAAAAACCATTTTTTTCCATATTTTTCAAAATTTTCTAAATTTCAAAAAAAAATTTTTAAATTTCAACCCTCAAAAAAATCAAAATAAAGCAAAAAGCCATCTCAAAACCATAATTTCATGAGTTTTTGTTACTATAAACAAAGAGAAACTGCCATTTCTAACTAATATGCCACTGAACGAGAAGGTTGCGTTAAGAAAAAGTAATCATAACATAAGAGCCACAACATGGAGAACAAGGGGAACATGAATGACTCAATTTGAAACAAAAACAATATTACTTTTCATTGTTTTTTTGAAATAATTTCTAATTTTTTAAAATTTTTTTACAATTTTTGCCCTAAATCCTACCCTACCCTACTCTACCCTACCCTACCCTTGCCTAAGTCTGTCTTACCATGCCTTCCCTAACCCTACTTTACCATGTCCAATATTGCTCTACCTTGCCTTGCCACGCCCTACCAAATCCTAATTTACACAGTACTGCCCTACCCTCACTTTTTCTTATCCTACAATCCATTTCCTCACAATACCCTGCCCAATGCCCTTAAAATTAAAAAACTATCCTTATATTCATCATGCCATACTATCTATAAAAAAGACAACATATTTATAAAATCATGGAAATTATACCCGTATTTTACAAAAAAATCAAAATTTTAAAACTCAAACCGACCTTGTCCAAATCGACCAATTCCCCGATCGATTTCTGTGGAATGCCTCCAGGCTGTTCGGAGACCGGCTTCGTGGCTTCGATTTCACCGTTCTTCAGAAGTTCATTCAGACGATTCATTCTGTTCTGATGCCCAACCGATCTCAGGTGAATGTCCAGAGTGGAGCCTTGAGAATAGCTTTGGCGACAGACGTTACAACGATACGGCTTTGGTGGAGAGTCACGGTCTTCTGATGAGCGTTGGAGGAGTTGCATTACCTGGAAATGAGAGTTTAGTTTGGCTGGTCTAAACTACTCTACCTCAATATACTCTACCTCAATATCCCCTACCTCAATATACCCTACCTTATCATTCAACTGCAGTTTGTTGGGCTGGTCCTCCAGGTACTGTTTGGTCCTGTTCAGATGGTCTACACTGACCAAATGACTGTCCAAACTGTTCTTATCACCAAAGTTGGTTGAACACAACTCGCACCTCAGATCCGAGTTAATGTGTTCATCTTGTTGATGTTGTAATAGAAGCAAGACGGAAGAGAAGGTTCTAGTACAGCTGGTACACTTGTGATTGAGTCGGAATGAGTGGGTCAGTTCGTGTGACTTGAGTTGTTCGCCGTGCTTGAATACCAACGGGCAGTGGCTACAGCGGTGGCGGTAGAGGCCGACAATGTCTTTGCTGAAGATGACATTGAATTATATATTGTTATTGAATTGATATACATGTTGAAATTAAAAAAAAATAAAAATCGATCAAAAAGTAAATAGACCCTTTTTTTAAATTCTATGAAGTTTTTGACCATCTTTTTTAATTCTACGAACTTTCTGACCTCTTTTTGAACTTTTTTTTTAATTTTTTCAAAATCGATCAAAATTTAAAATTTCCCCTTAAAATCAACCAAAACCCACCCCCCCACTCTTCCTTACCCTCCCCACCCTACCTCCTCCTGCCCCTCCCATATTTTCCCTCAAAACGACCATATGAACCTACCCATCCCCCTATATTAACATCGAAAAAAATCTGTCGTACCCCCTGGGACCCCCCTATCCGTCCCGGCTTCAGAATGCTGGGTCTCGAACAGACGGTGGCCAAGTTGGAAGCCGTCAAGAGCGGCGCTTTATTCAAATTAAGCGGCGCGCAAAAGCCAAAACGGCTTAATGCTAATTAAGTAGAGTCGTTTACAACGTTTATGTTAATGTGATTTGGCTTTTGCGGTTTTTGGGATTGAAAATTTGAAAAAATTTTTAAAGGTTTTTAACTTTAGGTAACAGATTTTTAAAAAAAGGCTATTTTAGGTAACAAATGGTCAAAACTTAGCTCAAAAGTTCAAAAAATTTAATATTTTAGGTAACAGAACTAAAAAAAAAGTCGTATTTTAGACAATAAAAAGTCAAAACTAAGTTTAAAAATAGAAAACTTAAAACTTTAGGTAACAAATTACAAAAAAAAGCTCAAATCTTAAAAATTTTTTAAAAAAGTTTTAGGTAACCACCTTTGAAAAAAGTTGTATTTTAGGTAAAAAATAGTCGGAATTAAGCCGGAAAGTTAAAAATTTCAAAAATTTTAGGTAACAAAGTTACAAAGTTTAAGTAACAGTTATAACAGACTGTAAAAAATTGTATTTTCCCTATAACATATGACAAAAATTAAGCTCAAAATTCAAAAATTAAAATGTTAGGTAACAAGTTCAAAAAGAAAGTTTCAAGCCATAAAAATTTACAAATTTAGGTAACAAATACCAAAAATTATGTCCTAAAACCATCAAATTTCAATTTTCAAAATTAACACTTGAAAAAAAAATATTTTAGGTAACAAATCTTCCAAAGTTTCAAAAACTAAGCCCAAACCAACCTAATTTCTCTCAAAATCCACCCCAAAAGCCTAAAAGCCCATAAAACTCAATATTTAAAACCATACCCAGCAGCAGAGATAGGAATCGAAGCCATGAGTTCGTCGGCGACCTCGTCGGTGATGTTGTGCGCCTCCAGAAGGTGGGTTTTCAGGGTGGAGTTAGTCGGCTTCTTGGTGCACAATGGGCATGTTCGAGTCTCCAGAGTCGAGTGATCGCCCGCCTTCTCGTGACTTTGCAGTTGTTCTAGGGTCGCTGAAACATAAGGAACTTATTGTTGCAAATTTTAAAATTTAGATTTTTAAATTTTATAAAGTGTGTCATCATGACATATATTCAAATATGAAGTTTGAGGTCAAGAAGTCATTTCTAATACGGAATATGGCTAAAAAAACCAATTTTAACATTTTTTAAAAATTTCGTAAAATATGTCATCATGACATACATTCAGTGTCATTATGACATGTTCGAAAGCGTGTCCAAAACTTATAAAAAGAAATGCTAAAATGTCCCGCCGTATTTTACACAGTAAAAAATTACTTTTCCAATCAAAACTTTACATTTACAGCCATTTTTCAAATTAGCGAGACGAGTTTATCGTAATTTCGCTGTGACTCCGCCCCTTTTTCCTCATTGGTAAACTCATCCGCCTAATGGAGGTCGTTTCCGTTTAATTTCCCGTTGGTTATGCCATTCTTGAATTACCTAGCATTTGGAAATATGTTTTTAAGAGTAAATTTTGAAATTTAAAATTTTTTCGAAATTTTGCAGTTTTTATTGCAAGAACTTCGTTTACAAAACTAAAAATGGCAAGAACTTTCTTTACAAAACAAAAAATGGCAAGAACTTTGTTTACAAAGGATACCATGACAAGAACTTCTTTACAATACATAACTTGACAAGAACTTTCTTTACAACCCTTGAAGAGTCAAGAAATATCAGGTTGTTCAAAAAATTCTGAGCCTCCACCCTCAAAATTTGCTTTAAAAAGAGGCACATAATTAATTGAACAACCAAATATTCAAAACCCACAAAAAACCGCAATAACTTTTCTTCCACCCCTAATTTCAAAGCCAATAATTTCGAAAACCCGGTTGAAACTTATCGCCTCGGGCACAAAAATTAAAAAACTCGGCGAAACTCTTCAAGAGTCACTTAATCCGGCTGCCCATATCGGATTTCGGTTCAAACTTTGAGAGCATTTTAAATAAAATTTTAAATTTCTCTCTTGATCAATTGAAACCTAATATTTCCTCGAGGGTCTCCCTAATGGTTTCGGTTTTATAAATAGTTTTATTCGAATTAAAAGTTTTTTCTCGTGTTTTGATGGAAATTAGTTGTTTGTAAAGAAAGTTTTTGCAGGTTTTTGGTTTGTAAAGAAAGTTCTTGCCATTTTATGTATTGTAAAGAAGTTCTTGTCATGGTATCCTTTGTAAACAAAGTTCTTGCCATATCTTGCTTTGTAAAGAACGTTATTGCCATTTTTTGATTTGTAAACAAAGTTCTTGCCATTTTATGTTTTGTAAAGAAAGCTTCTGACATTTTTTTCATATAACAACAAAATTTAATATTTTGCAGCCTGCGGATGACAAGTTGTACGACAGACACATTTTAAAAACTTTTTAAAGCTCTTGCTAGCCCGTTATGTAAAAGAAGTTCCTGCAATTTCACGCCTTGTAAAGAAATTTCTTGCAATTAAAAGTCTTGCAGATAAAGTTCTTGCCATTTTTCGTTCTGTAAAGCAAGTTCTTGCATTTTTTGTTTTGTAAAGAAAGTTTTTGCCATTCCCACTAAAATTTTAGAAAATTTTAAAAATTTATTAAAAAATACTCAAAAAATTAAATAAACCCGCAAAATTAGAAATCTTTTTGAAAAACGGATTGGGGCAAATAATTGCGCAATAGACAATGAATAAATAGTAAAGTTAAGTGAGGTCGGGTTCAAATACAAACAGAACGCTATTACAAACAACTACTTTTTAATTGAGGCGTGTTGACAATTAGAAAAGTACGTTAGAACGGTTGTCACTAATATATACAGTGGAGCTCCTGTATAACCAGTGTTTTGCCGGACCGGACCAAAAGAAAATAGAGCCGGACCGGACCGAAAATTTTCCGGACCGAACCGAAAAAAAAGTTCCGGACCGGTCCGGAAAAAAATTTTTTTAATTTTAATAAAACTGTTTTAAAAATTGCAAATAAAACATATTTTTAAGAGTTTTTAAACATAAAGAAAGCAGTTTTAGCGCTCTTGGCTCTTTTTAAAAATAAAAAATTTTTTTTCCGGACCGGATCGGACCTGACCTTTTTGGTCCGGACCGGACCGGACCTGAGCAAAAAAAAATAGAGCCGGACCGGACCGGACCGAAAAAATTCTCATCCGGACCGGTCCGGCAAAACACTGTGTATAACGAATCGCTCTGCACATCAAGTTGACAGCGGACTAAGATGCTTTGTCATTTCGTTATCGGGTCGAAAAATAACGGAATGTCACAAAAAATAAAATTATATTTTTTCGTTTTGCGGTTGGAAATAATTCCGGTCTTTTGGTCGCTTAGAACGTTGTATTATGCTGATTAGGTCAAAAAAATAAGTAGAATTTTTTATTTCTTAGTATGGTTGTCTTAATTGACTTTTCTATTTACTTTTTGACCGGAAACTAAAAAATTATCCGAGAAAAAAATCTTTTTCTTTTCGAGAACAACTATTGGAAACTATTGATTGCGACAAAGTGTGAAAAAACGGCCAAGACCGCGTTTTGTTTTATTTCGACTTGACGTCCTCTGGGCTTTGAAAGTTGTTCGTTATAGAGGAGTACGTTATTCAAAAGGGTGTTATAGAAGAGTTTTTTATAAAAAATTTCGTTATAAAGGAGTTCCGCTGTATATAGTAGAAACAATCGTTTTGTTTTGCTACGTATAGCCTACATATGATTATAAAAATTCAAAAAATTAAAATTTTAAAAATTTCAAACATTTTAAAAAACACTTAAAGCAAATTTTCGAAACCTATATGATAACTCCATATTTTTTTCATAACACTCATGTTACATAGATTAACTTACTATCAAAAAAATTTTCATTCAGTATGTTTTTAAATCTGCCATCATGACACATTTTTCGTCATCAAATTCAAAAATCTAGCCAAAAAATTGAAAACTGAGCTGTCTAGTCTAGTAAAAAACAACATTTTTTGAAATATTTCAGAACTCTTAAAGCGTATTTTACAATACAATAACATATGTCATAATGACGGATATAATTTGTCAGTATGACAATTTTTTAAATTTTAAAAACTATAAACAACCATAAATAACGTTTTACTTACAGTTTTAAAGCCCCATATTACAAACATCGTATTTTACAATAAGAATGAAATACGTCATCATGACGAATTTTAGCGTCATAATGAAAAATTTTGTAGACAATTCAAAAAAATACCTAGCTAGTTTTCAAATCATTTTCAAAGTCAACGAAGACAATTTTTTTCAAATTTCCAGTTCAAAAACGATATTTGAAAAGCCGAATTCGAATACCCTCAACAACAATATTACTATAGAGCGAGATCAAAAGTAACCGGGATTACGCATTCGGCCATGGGAAAGCCGACAGAAATGAAACAGTTTGTCACAATTACAGCACTATTACTAACCGTCGGGAGTGGTAGCGGGTTTTTGACTAATCGGAAAGTGTTTTGATTTTTGAATTTCGAATTTGGCGCCAAATTGGCATTTGATTGTTTTTGGGTTTTTTGGGCCGGTTTTGGGTTTATATGTAAAAGTGAAACATGTAAGGCACTTATTGTAACTTTATTATTTACCTATTTTAATACTGCGATTTTGAAAAAAAAAATGGTCAATTACAGCAATGTTGCTTATGATCAGAAGCATTATTGTACAAATTTTTGTAACTTTCCGGATGTTAGTTTTAGAGTGGCATTAAAAAAGTCTTCAAAGCGCAATTAAAGAACATAGGAATAAAGTCATTAAAGTGTCATTTTGATCAAAATCCTTTTTAGAAACTATTATTATTACCCTAATACATATTTTAAGGCCTTAAAATTAAAAAAAAATTGTCTCCAGCGCGGTATTATAGTTGATTGTAGAAGAGGCAACCATATTGTAACACAATGTAGGTATAAAAGATATCATACAGTAGCCTTTTCAATAAAAATCATTATGATTGTATTATATAAAAAAAATGTCATTTATAATCAACAAATCACAACAAAGGTCCCATTAATTTTAGCTTTATTTCAATTTCAATTCCGAGCACTGTAAATAAAGTTTTTGTCAATTTATAATTTGTAAAGAGAGTTCTTGCCATTTTATGTTGTAAAGAAAGTTTTTGCCATTGTACATTTTGTAAAGAAAGTTCTTGCAAAAAACAATAAAACCCCCCTCCTAAATCACAAATTAACTGCCATTTCAAACCCAAATTTCATTTTTTTTCTATTAACACATGCGTTTGGGTAACAAATTGCCTCCCCCCTTGCCCCAAATCCGCCCTCATTAGTAATTGAGCGTTTAATTAATTAACAAGCCTGTTGGGACATAAAAAGCCGGCCAGATCCCTTCGCTTTATAAATCAAAAAATCCGCGTTTTTTCGGTTTTGAGCGGCCAAAAAAAAACATTTTTTATTACAACGTTAATTGACATAATTAACACCATTTAATGGCCGCGTTATTAAAACATGGCAATATGAAGTTGGGAAGGGGGGGGGTTGAAATTTGAAGTAAAAAAATATATGTGAAAGAAGATGGAAAGGGATAAAGGGAAGGGTAAATGAGCTAAAATTGGAAGGGGGGGGTGAGGCGGGATAAAGCAGGAGTAGAAAAACATAGGGGGAGGGGAAGGGGTTTAAAAAAATTAAAATAGGTACAGCGGGGCGGGTAAAAAAATGTCACGAAAAGAAAGGGCAGTACACTTTTTAAAATTTTTTGTTCTGTAAAGAAAGTTCTCGCAATTTTATGTTGTAAAGGAAGTTCTTACTAGCTTAATCGAGTTCTTGCCCTTTTTTGTGTTGTAAAGAAAGTTTTTGCCGTTTTGTGGCCAAGCTTTCTGTCATTTTCTTCTATAAAGAAAATTTTTGCTATTTCTTGTTCTGTAAAGAAAGTTCTTGCCATTTCTTGTATTGTAAAGAAAGTTCTTGCCATTTCTTGTATTGTAAAGAAATTTATTGCCATTTTTTGTGTTGTCAAGAAAGTTCTTGCCATTTGCACTAATAATCACAGAAAACGTATTTTACCCTCTCCACAAAAGTTTTCTCCTCTTCTACCCAACTTTGTATTCCTGCTCTCTCCCAAAAACAAAAGGTAAAATAATCCCCCCCCACCCCTGAGGAATAAAAAATCACCAATTTTTTTTTCAAATCCTACTATACCAATGAAGCAAAGACAATACAAACCAAAAAGCGAATTTTTTGATTATTTTCCCATTTTTAGTATTACCAAGGGGAGGGAGAGTTTTGTTTAGAGAAACAAATTGTGAGTCAGAAAAGCGTAATTAGCCTTCTTACAGTCAGCCGGAGAGGGGGTTACTGTATGCGCCATTCAAAAATTCGTTTTTTAATTTGCGTGAAAAAGGCCGGCAAATTAATTGAAATCACTTTTTAAATATTTTTTCAAATTTTTGACACAAATTTTAAAAATTTAAAAATTTCAAAAAAATTTTTTTTAAAGAATCCGCCCCCAAACTTTTTCATGTAAACCCAA